CCACATATTCCACCATACATAAAATGCATCCACATCGGCTCTAGCGCCGACCTATCATCATACATATCAGTACAGAAATGTGTGAATGATGTGGTCCTTCCACAGTCTTTCATGCAATTGCTAGGGGTCAAATCCTGGTCTTTCATACAAGTGTCATGGTTCTCCCATGGTATTTCATGCAATTTCTAGGAAAAAATCATGGTCTTTCATACAATACATAAATTCATATGGAATCAGAGATCAGATAGACAGTCGAACAGATGATCCACCCGAAAGCGAAGAATCAGACAAAAATATCAAAATAAAGCATTAGACCAAGAGTTCTCAGACTATCCAACCTGAACTAAATAGAATCAATATTATCATTACCACATAATCATGTAACATTAACACATAACATATACTAGCATATTACATATACTTGGCAACTAGCCTTCCTTAGTTACCCATGCCATTAACCACTTCTCAATTAAGTCCTTCGCTGGTCAATCATACATAATCCTGATAACCGGCCTTCCCTAGATACTATGCCATCGACCAATTCTCAATTAAGTCATTCGTTGGTCAAATCATACATAATCCTGATAACTATCCTTCCCCAGTTACTCTAACCAAACATAACTCCTAACAGTATCATACGATCACCATGCAAGATCCTACCACTCTAACATACCAAGACACCAAGTGTTCTAAATTGCACATGCATAACAAGGAGTTATCCTAACCAACTGGCATACTTGTACTCTAACAATACCCCTATCCTACCATGCTAAGGATATACAATGGGATACGTGGAATAGTGAGAAACTCACTTGAACTGAAGACCCAAATAAGCACATCAACACTGTTACACCTTGTACTGCTCAATCATGTGAATCGACTAACACCAAAAAGCGATAATTCCTCAATCATCAATCCACATCCTCCAATTTTGACCCTAAGTCAAAATGGTCAAAAGTCAACGGTCAACAAAAGTCAACACTCAAGCAAGTCAACAACCACTAGAACGTGGAGACCTCTTAGCCACATCGTGGGCATGACAGGACAAAATAGATGACATGCAGGACCTCGCCATGTCTTGGACCCTCCTCGACCACGTCGTGGGCATGTCAGGACAAAACAATCGTGAAGCTAGACTCTACCACGTCGTGGTTATTCCTTGGCCACGTCGTGGTCACTGGCATATTCTAAAATTCTTCATTAAGGGCTTAATCATTATAGATCAAGGCTCAAATGTAACGCCCTGTTCCGAATCGTTTTCTAATTCGGGTCTGTGGCCCGAAGATGGGTTATCATCAAGCTTCGGGCCTTTGGGGAAAAGAGATTTAGACCCAATTGTGTGTGGTTAATGTAATTTAGATGATTCGGGAGTTCGGTTTGTGTTTTGGAGCTAATGGGTATATCGGTAAAGTGAGAGTTCGGGCTTTTATGGAAATTGGTTTTTTGTTCGAGAAGTTTTAATGCAAGTATGAGTTGTTAGAAGTGTAGAGCTTCTCGTTACCTTTTCGTGGATATAAGGATCGTCGAAAACGAACTTATAACGAAGAAGTTATGGTCTTCAGAAGATGGTGGGGTTTAAGGTTAACCCTAGTATGCGGGGCATACTAGGGAAGGGGATCGCGACACCCTTGAGGAATACGCTAAGTGTAATGGGTGTACGCAGGGCGTACTCCAGTTTCATGCAAACCCTAATTTAGGGTCTTGGACCCTATTTAAGCTCCTTATCTTATCACAAAACCCTAATATCTTCAGCCTCCATACCTTTTGAACCCTAGATTCGAACCCTAAGTGCATTTAGTGATTGTTTAAGCTTGAAAGGTGATATGTGCATGTTTGTGTCGAAGAAGAAGAAGAGGAACACTTGGAGGAGTGGCTTGAGCTTGTAGATCCAAGAGTATGGTGTACCAAGAGCTTTGGTGAGTGATAGGGGCACTCATTTTTGCAATAAAATGATGGAAGCCATGACAAAGAGATATGGTGTCACACACCGGATATCGACCGCTTATCATCCACAAACAAACGGCCAAGCCGAAGTGTCAAATCGAGAAGTCAAACAAATTCTCGAGAAGACGGTCAACACTACACGAAAAGATTGGAGCTTGAAGTTAGAAGATGCATTGTGGGCGTATCGGACCGCCTACAAAACTCCAATTGGTATGTCTCCATTCCGCCTCGTCTATGGAAAGTCTTGTCATTTACCGGTGGAATTGGAACACAAGGCATATTGGGCGGTTAAAAAGTACAATTTCAATCTTGAAGAAAGTGGAAAGCACCGAAAAATGCAACTTCAAGAAATCGAGGAGTTGAGGAACGAGTCTTATGAAAATGCAAGCATCTACAAAGATAAGACAAAAGCGTTTCACGACAAACACATCACTCGTAAGCATTTTATTCCGGGCCAAAAAGTCCTTCTTTATCATTCACGCTTAAAGCTATTCCCGGGAAAGCTGCGATCTCGATGGCACGGACCTTTTATTGTTATAAAAGTGTTTGATCACGGTGCGGTTGAAATAAAGAGTTTGGACACAAATCAAATATTCAAAGTGAATGGGCACCGCTTGAAACCGTTCTATGAAGGCTTCGACACGGGAGAATTCGACAAAGTAACATTGGAAAACCCGAATTACGAAAATTGACGGAGGCGGGGCTATGTCTTGGCAAAGACGTTAAATAAATGCATTGTGAACAAATAATCTCCGCTTGAAGTTTTGGGTGTTTCTAAACTTGAAGTTGGCCTAAAAATAAGGATATAGAAGTCTTCCAGTGATTTTGGTGAAGTTTGAAAATTTCAAAAAAATTTGACTTTTGCGCGGGTACCCGCGCAACCTCTGCGCGACCGACCCCTAGCCGCGCAGGTTCCGAGTTCCAAATTGCACCAACATGGGATGCAAACTGTGAGTTGCGCGCGGCCGAAATCCACCCTCGCAGATGTTTGCGCGACTAAGAAGAAAATTCCGCTTTCAAGTTGCGCGACCACCCCCCCCCCTTATAACTCCACCCGGAAGACCGCCCCCGGCCCGCTCCAGTCCGATCCACACCCGCTTCCGACCCGAAAATCCGACCCATTCTTCCTTAACCCAACCTTATACCCCCACTTAACCCGTCGGACCCCTTCCCCCCCCCCCTTTTTTTTGCCTCCCGTCAACGAAACCCCCCTGCACCACCGACGATCACGTCTGTCGCCGCCGCAATCAATCAGCGCCATCGGTCAGTGCCTCCGTCCAGCAAGTTCCGCCGGCCAGCGCTTCCCTCCAGCAACCGTCGGCAGCCCGATCTCGTCCAACTCTCGTCGCCGGAAAAGCGAAACTCACCGCTGTCGCCTCCTTGCTGCTCCCTTCGCCGGCGCTCCCCCACCACCACATTACCCACCTAATTCCGACTAAACCCCACCCTTTTAACTCCGAGAACAGCCAACCGCAGCCACCATTATCCCCTAGCCGGAAAATCATTCAAAACCCGATTCCGAAGCCAAATCTCAGTCAAATCCAAAACTTCTTGGGGCATTATTAACCAAACACCCCACCACACACCGATCTACTTTTAATTCGGGACAATCTCGTCGCCGGAATCCAAGCTCCGCCGCCGGCCGCCGCCACTCGTTTTGACCAAAAATTTCAAAATTTTTGTTTCTCATCGGAGATTCAAAAGATTCAATCTTTCGGGTCAACTTCAAGCTTGGGGTGCGATTTTAGCGAATTTCTTTTTGGGTTTCAACACACGAATTCGGTACATTTCTTTAATTTTATTGCATTCAACTTCTAATTTCAATTAGCTTGTGCTATGCATTAGATTGATTTGAATTGGACTTAGTTTGCTTTGAATTGATCGAATTGCATTGAATTGTACCAAATTGCAAGTTTGGAATATTTGCCCGGTTTATATTCTTATTATTTAGTTTGTTTGGATTGGTGTGAGGCGAGTTTGAGGGATAATTTTGGCCAAGTTTTTTGTGTTTGCTAGGTTTATTAACAGGTACAATGGCAAGGGACAAAACCATTCACGCCTCTCATGGTTCTTCCCGTGTGGCTTCATCCTCACGATCCACACAAAAAGCGTCAACCGAGAATACCGATCGTGAGGGCAACCTTGTCCTCACTAGCGCGCAAATCAAACAATTCAAGTCAAACCTCTAAAAACGTGCAATTCGAGCCACCAAATTTTACCACCAAGACTCAATGACGTACCTTGGCCTTGACGATTGCCTGAAACAGCTGTTCTTCAACATCGGTTGGCACGCGTTCCTCGCTCTTTCCGCGCGCACATACAAACAACCCACACTAGAGTTCCTTTCCACTTATGCACGGGATGACACGGCAGGGGTGCTCACATTTAAACTCCAGGGTCGACAGCACCGACTCACATACGACACCCTAAACACTATCATGGGCACATACAATAACTACAACACCGACATCTATAGCTATCAATGGACTCAATTCAAGAGCTCGCCCAAAATAGAGTTTTGGACTCAAATCACAAGTCTTCCAAACTTCAGTCCAAGTCGACAAAAAGATACTTACATCGTCCATCCTTGTTGGAGAATTGCCCACCGGATCCTCTCAACTTCCATCTTTGCCCGTCACGAGCCGGGACAAATCAACACAGTCGAGCTCTATTTCCTCTATTGCATGAGCCATCGGCGTTGGTCTTTGCCCGGTTTCACCACCTTTTTTCTGGATAAATGTGACAGCATTCGCATGAAGACCACTGGCGACATTTGCATTGGAGGTCTCATTACCCTAATTGGTTTGGGTGTGGGCCTTCAATTTCCCGAGTCTGAGTATGTGCCAGTGGATGACCCACCTCTCTATCTCCTTGACTACATCGCTCTCACCCGGATGGAATTATTGACACCTCATCCTACCCGTCCTAACCATTAGTCTTGGCTCAATCATGTAAAAGACCCAGTTTACATCTTACCTAACCCTAGCATCTCCGCCTTTTCCACCAGCGACCCTGAAACTTGGTTCTTACCTGACGAGTTAGACGATGATGATGAAATGCAGGTCGACCATTCCAATGCTGGTAGTCCATTTGAAACCGAAGACCATTATGACCTCCCGATCCAACAATTGCCACCACCCCTTTATGGTCAACCTTCGGGAGCACATTTTGAGCCACAACATGAGTACCACTCTCAACCGCAGCACAATGAGCCCGATCCCGAACATGAGTTTCCTCTTGATATCTACAGTCAGCTTGCTTCCTTGCGCCTCCAGGGCAATCGGAATACAGCCGCCATTCGTCGCATCGAGGAGCAGCAAGCCCGCGCCAACAACTATATGGAGGATCTTTGGTATCATTTTCGGCCCGACGACGGTTACCCCCCTCGTGGGCCTCCTCCATCTTGATCCCGGTATGATCCTTCCTTACTCTCATCCTAAGCATTGAGGACAATGCTAAATTTTAAGCTTGGGGTGAGGTATTCTTATATTTTTATTTTTATTGCATTTAGGTTGTATATAGTTGCATTTAGAGTAACTCATTTAGGTCATTCATAAAAAAATTGCATAAAAATTTCAAAAATATTGCATATTTTGTTTTTTTCTTTTCAAATTTTCATACTTTTTAGATGCATTCTAGTTTAAGTTCATGCATTTTTGTTCTCTCTTGTCTTCTCATCCCTACAGGTACCAGAGCACCGAGTCATAAGTATTGAATCATAGATTGGTCCCGGGTCTTGATATGGAATTCCTTGTATTTGATAAGTGGGACACGTTTTGAGCCTCACGGACCATTTTAAGACCGCTTGTGGGGGGTCAGATGCAGGTAGCTTGATTGGGTCTAGGTGCGGAGGGATGTGGTTGGTCATGCCAATGTGTGCGAGCAAAGATTAGCCCGGTAAGGTACATTAAAGATATTGAAGACTCGCATCTTGGTTTTGGGGGGAATACCCCTTAGTACTCCCGAGTCTCGTCCGAGCCTTGCTTAGTTAGATTCCCACCACCTTTTTAAGATAGGTTATTTTTTTTAAAGAGTCTAGAGTAGATAGTTAGATAGATTTTGTTTATCACACCTTGCATTGAGGTGCTTGATGAACTTTGAAGTGGGTCCCCCAATTCACATCTTTTGGGACCAAGTTTTTTTTTTTTCGGTAACACCCATTTTTGTGTCATATCCCACCCTTTTTAGTTGATCTTGGCACATTGTCAATGATCATTTGGCGTTCATGTTAGCCTCCATCATTTGTTACATGGTGAAATTCCTTAGACCTTCAAAGAAGAAAACACAAAAAAATAAAGAAATTGGAAAAGTGAAGACAAAAAGAAACAATGAAGAGGATTAAAGAAAAGCAACAAAATCAAAGAAGAAAAAAAAAATGAAGAAAAAGAGCAACACAAAAAGAAGAACAAGAATCCAAGTTCAAGGCTTTAGTTAAAAAAAAACGAGAAAGCTGAATATCAGGCAGCAAAGAGGCTGAAGACCAAATAACCGAAGTCCAAGATTGAAGATTTAAGTTGTTAGGTTTAAGTTTAGGTTAAGTAGAATTTTTATTATTTTATTTTATTTTTGAATTTTGGTGAGAAAAGGCCTTGACGATGAGACGGTAGACTGTAAAGGACAATACAAGGGAGAAACTTCTGAAACCGGATGTTTGCCCCCGGAGGCCGCGCTGCAAAGCCCTATTTCGTACTATACACTTTAGTCTGACAAATGTAGGAATCATAGTGTGTGAAGAGGCACCTTTCCTTCGTGCACTATGGTCTACATTGGTGATTTAAAGTGCCCCCACTGGGCGCATCTCTGTTTCCTTTGTCTTGCACACCGCGACTACATCCAGCCGTGATCTATTCGCCCATCAAGTGGTTGAGAATGTGGTTTATGGCTCTAAAGCGGGGAACATTTTGAGGATGCGTAGGGTCCATGAAGGACTAATTCTGACCATGTTGACTGATGTTGACCAAGTTCTATGGTACCTTTCTTTTTCCTTTTTAGTTTAGCTCATCCCGATCTCATATTAGTCTTGTTCTAACTTGAGGACAAGTTAGGTTTAAGCTTGGGGTGATTTGATAGCTTATTTTATTTCCTTATTTTTATTAGTTTATTTTAGATTTTTAGATCTTTTTATCATTATTGCATTGTATTTTATTTATTTTTCTTTAGTATGGATCGTACCGGGTGTTTTTTATGTTGCATGAGGAATTTTGCAGGGTTTTGGAGCTTATCGCGATTGTGGATTAGAGTGAAGACGGACTTGTGGGCTCTCGAGGCGCTATTGGGCTTGGCGGATCCACCAAAGAAGATTTGGGCTTAAAAAGATAAAGGCTTGGATGAAGTGGGCTTGTGAAGATGGATCATGGATAATTAATTTTGGGTTTGGAGCATCCACATTTGAAGATAAAAGATGATTGGCTGATTTGAATTACATGGATATGGAGGGGACCAAAGGAATCTTTGGTAGTGGAAGGGTGGAGTGGTGGAATGAAGGACCAATAAACATAACAGCAACATTTGCGCGGGTGGAATTTCCGTTGCGCGGGTACCCGCGCAACTGCCCAGTTTGGGCATTTTGGTCATTTGGCTTGCCATTACCTTGGGGGATCAGACCTAGCAGCTATAACTTCGATTTTACACCATTGGAGACCTGGAGGAGGCGATTTTGGAAGCTCAAGACTCATTTCTCTTCATCTTTCCAAGATTTTTGGTAGTTTCTTTATGCAATTAGACTTTTGTGATTGTTGTTCTATTGCCATGAGTGGCTAAACTCTTTATATTGGTTAACTTTGGTTAAAACCTTTGAATGTTTGTGGGTTTTTGAAGGATTCATGCTAGATTATCAATTATCTTATGTTTATGGTTCTAGATCATATTTCTTATGCTTGTTTAATGCTTTGATCATGAGCTTGGCACTTGAATGAGCTATTGTTAGTTTATTTCTTTGGTTTTGCATTGAATCATTGAATTAACTTATAACAAGGGCTTTATGATGGTAAAAATCATCTCTAGTTTATGAATCATAGCTCCTTTATGGATGTGTAAGCATTGACATCCTCTAGGAATTGGGGATTCCTTCTTTCTTAAGGCTAATTAACTTCTTGGGTTCAATTGCTTCAATTAAACCCTTGATCTTGATTAAGAGGGTGTGTTGTGGGCTTCCCCAACCTCCATACTACCTAAGAGGAATCTTGGCATATCATGCTTCATGATTGCTATAACCAATTTGGGATGAATGATAAGCTTCATGTTGAATCCTAATGATAAGCACACAAATGTTCATTGTGTTGAATTGCCTTAGTTAACCAACTCTCTCCACTTTGTGAGCATCTCACTATCTTGCTTAATTGCAAGTTTTTAGTTATTCAAGTCTTTTAGTTTTCAAGCAATCATAACACCCCCCCTTTTAGTTTAATTGTAGTTAGTTAGTTTATTTACAATAGTTCTTTTAGATTGCATTGGTGATTGAATACAACCATTTCCCCGAGGATCGATACCCCTTTTTACCATTATATTACGTTTTATTTGCAAACAAAGGGTGTAATTTGCTTGGTGGACTTGACATCCCACCAAGTTTTGGCGCCGTTGTCGGGGAAATTGGTTATTGTTATTTGATTGTTTATGCCTAGGTCTACAAGAACCGGTGAACTACTCTACAATCCGGAAATTGAAAAAGAAGCAAAAAGGTTGAAAAAGTTAGCCAAACAAGCAAAGCAACAACAACTAGTTCAAGCTTCTTCCTCTTTTCCACTAATCAACATAGAAGATCAAGTTCATACTTCAAGTGATACCGACACCGAGCCGAGTTCTCCAATTGTTGGTCATTCCTTTGAAGACATTCCGTTTGAAAACTACATAGCCATGAATCACACTCCACCTCACAATCCCAACCCAAACCCAAACAATCAAGATGCCAATACACCACCCCAACAACCAAGACAACAACAAGAACCTCTCATTGATATGCCACCTTGGAATCAAGCCCCTCCTCAAAACCAACCCAATTATCCGCAACCACAAAACCAACAATTCCACCAAAACAACCAACCTCAAAACAATGCTTTTCAAGTTCAACAAGTACATTACCCTAATCAACCCAATTACCAACACCCTCCAATGTACCAAAACCCAATGTACCCCCAACAACAACCTCCTTACAACCAATACCCTAACTACCAACCTTATCCACCACCAATCTACAATCCCCAACAATACCCATACCCACCTTACCAACAACATCCTAATTACTTGCAACAAACTCCCAATTACCCCAATCCACCCAATCCCCCTCAAGAGTTGACACTTCGACAAATGATGGAGACGGATGTTACTCACACACCCTGGTATTGTTTATCCCGCAAACCGCCGAGGGATTGAATTGAAGTCAAGTTTCATACATCAACTCACCAAGTTCCATGGTTTGGATAGAGAAGATCCTCAAAGGCATTTGAAGTCCTTTCATATGATATGTGTTAGCATGTTGCCCGAAAATGTGACATTGGATGATTTCAAGCTAACCGCCTTCCCGCTCACCTTGGAAGATAAAGCTAGAGAGTGGTTATTCAACTTACCACCGGGATCTATTCACACATGGGAAGAGTTACTCAAAGCCTTCAATAGCAAGTTCTATCCCACCTCCCGAATTTCAAGCCAAAGAAGTGACATTTTGGGGATTCGTCAAGGGGAGAATAAGACTTTTCATGATTTTTGGGAGCGATTCAACACCTTATGTACAAGTTGTCCTCAACACAACATTCCCGAACAACTACTTCTTCAACAATTTTATGAGGGTATGAATGAAAAAGATCGAAGGATGATTGATGCTTCAAGTGGTGGTGACATCTTCAACAAAACCCCTCAAGAGATAAGATCACTTTTTGGAACCATTTCTCAAAATCAAAGGAACTTTGGGACTCGGAATGAAATGAAGAGAAATTCTCCACAAGTGGTTGGTGAAGTTAGCAACACTCAACACTTGGAATCAAAGCTCTTGGATTTGACTAATGTGCTAAGTCAAATGGTGGTGGGAAGTGGTCAACAATTGATGGTATGCGGTATTTGTGCCATGACGGGGCATTATACAGATAAATGCCCCACACTTGGAAGTGAACCGGAGGATGTGAATGCAATGGGTGAATATCAAGGTCAACCAAGACCCACGGGATTTCAAAACAATTTCAACCCAAATTGGAGGAATAACCCAAACAATCCATACCCACCAAAGCAAAATCCACCAAACATTTTGATGAGACCTCAACATCCGCAATATCCATCACAAAAACCTCCATATCCACAAACATCTCACCTCCCTCCAAATTACCAACAACCTCATCAACAAGGCCAATCAAGTGGTACCCACCAAATGAGCCTTCAAGAACTTGTCACTTCTCTTGCTCAAAGCCAAACCCAATTTCAA